AAATCACTGAATTAAAAATGAAAATAAATAATAAAGAAAATGACTATTTGAACTGGTATAAGAAACACACATTAACTCATTTGAGCTTAGTAATTAGGACTGTACTAGCTTACATTTGATTTATCCATTACAATACTCCCTTTACAGTTACTGCTATCATGAAAATACACTTATATTTAGGTTTAAAATTCTACAAGACATATTTAATGTCCAACAACAAATATTTTAGCAAAATGTATATTTTACTCAGAATTATTGCACTACTATTCCATTGCGCCCTGTCTGTTTAGCGCGCATGCGCGCAGCAGCGCTCATTCACTCGTGTAAGCCTCGCCCACTCCTGACAGCAAAATGGATATATTTGCGTGACTTTCTGACATTTACAGATGAAGAATATATACCTGTGACATGTCTGTTATGCACTGAGGAAAACACAACGTCTCAAATGCATTAAACAACACAGATATAATTAGCTGTTTGCCATGGTGGATCGATTTGATCCATGATCGGCATTAAGAGCTGCTTTAAAATAAACATGCACAAACTAGTGAGATTGTGTGAACTGTTTTTCCTCAGGTCTCCGTAGTGTTGTTGTGATACGTCATATTCACATGCAGCGGTGATGAGAGAACGCGCTTGAGAAAGAGGAGAGGAGAAATCTATGTACATATAAAATATTGGTCACAGATTATTGGTCACTTTCTAAACAGTAAAAGTATAGCGCATCCACTAGTAATTATATATAAATAAATCGGTTTTTACTGATGCAAATATGTTAGAAACGATGCATCGCGATACAAATTCTAACTTGTATCCGATGCACACTTTTTAAACCGATGCATCGCATCGTGCCTTATTTATTATGTATGTAATACTCATGTGTAATATATATATATATATATAACATAAAACAGGAAATTAAATCACATACAGGATTAATCAAGGTTAATATCAGACAATTTGACCTTTTTATGACAAGGCAAGGTTGGTTCAGCATGTAAATTGTCATGTGGCGTGACTTGGTGTGACCAAAAACTGAATGATATTTAGTATTAATTAATAATAATAATAAAAATACTTTTTACATAGCAAAATATATATTTATAAAGGGGGGGGCGGGGGTATTCAAGGTGTAGGGAAAATCGGTTATTACTTTTTACTTGATGGTTACACCACATGACATCTTGAGTCATTAAATTGAAACTTTTATTTAAAATGGTAAAAAATATTTTCAAAACCACATGAAATCAATTTTAATACAAAGAGTACATTTCTAAGAGCTTGGCATATGTGTTTCTAGATTTTTCTTTCACTCATTTTCTAATCATCTCCCCCTCTGCTGTAGCTAATTTATGAGTATTCAAATTAGATTTAATGCAGATTACAAGCTTATCAAAATTCTTGCGTGAACCATTCCTCTAACATATGCTGGGTGACATTTCACCTCTGCCAAACAAATCCTGAAACCACTCTATTCCACAATGAACAGGAAGAGACACTCTCAGGCTTGTAAACAGCCAAATCAATCACCTACACTGTCTCAAACCACCTTAAGACCCTTGATATTTGATTTTACTTGAGGGTCACCAACCTGAGAGAGAAAAAACATTCCAGACGTCACCTAATAACATGAAATTACATGCATAATTACATCCTGAATCACTGTATCCAACCATACCAAATCCAATAACCGACTGAGAAAAACCACTTTATTTCCTTAGAACAATTTTCATGTTAAGACAAAAACAAAAAGAACTTCGTCACTGTCTGTCTATTCACTCCACAGCTGACCTCTTTCCCATTTCTCAGTCATGGATTTAATTGCCATCTAATCCTATCCAGAAATTATAAGATAATTATACCAAACTACTGCCTGATTAAAATTGCACAATATTACAATTCATTAGAGTTAACTGACTCCCAGTGTCTCTGGGCTTTCAGCCAGATGCGTGAAGATGTCAGTAGCCCCCAGATGGAGAACGGAGGAGGGACAGCGGCTCTATTCAGCTCCTGCTTTAGCCTCATCAGAACCGCTCCACACAGACTCTCACTGCTCCTCCAATCACTCATTAGGGATGTGGGTTTTCATATCTGGGCGCTTGAGACCAAGACGGATGAACCGCTCTGGTTTCTGTATCATAATGAATAGTTCTGAGAGCTAGAGCTTCCATATGGACCAATCAGATATTGTATTATATATATGATTGCACAATAAGTTCACATGAGAGCAAAGAGCAACTCTCCATCAAGATTGTACTGAAAATGCAGTGACATTGCTAATACTGTAAAAGAACACTGATCATCTTGTAACTTACTAATGGCTATTCTTACTAAGCATGTTAAACCAGTGGTAAATTTACTTTAACCCAATAAAGCCTAATGTATCAAGTGATGCCACTATATCTTTTTAATGTGAAATCTTTACTCTTTTTTTTTTTTTTTTGAAGTAAACATAAGAATAACTTTTTTTTTATTGTTGGTAATAGTTCGAGATGAACACTTACTGGTCTGAAGCAACTTAGATTTACTATCCATACATCAATTTTTGTTTTTTAGAAAAATCATATTAAAATACGAGTATAAAATATGGTACATCAGGATTTGAGGAACATTTATTTGTAGTTCTCTAAATCATTATATTGCTTTGAATTATATGTTTTGACTCCCACAATTAAAATTACAGAGCTTTGATCATAAAACTAAGCATTTAAATATCATCTTAAAGATATTTTAGTATTTTACTATAGATTGACAACTGTCGATCTAACTGATATTTATATGCATTTTATGTAAGTAGTAAATTACTTTTGGCCCAATACATGTTTTTGCTCAATTTGGTCCTAAATAAAATTGAGCTGTTTTTTCTCCTCAAGCTGAGCTTTATATTCTCTTATGTCATACTATATGAGCCAAAAAAGTCTGATGTATCAAATATGATGAAAAATGTTTTTTGTTGTTGTTTTTTTCTGAATTTTGAATTTTATCTTTGAATAAAAAATAAAAATAAAAAATCTTTGAATTTTAAGGTTTTGTCTAAAATTTCAATAAACTGTTCCATTTCTTCATTATTATTATTATTATTTTTTTTATTATTATTCATATATCTGGGTTTACAGGGATAATTAATGTACTATGATAAAACAGATCTCTGTTTTGGTTCTCAATACTGATTGGATGAACCACATTTGAAGCTTTTGTAAATACAGCTCATGTGCCAATAACTTGGTCAATTCTGTTGAATTCTATATTAATGAACCAGGTTTCATCAGCAGCACTCTCTAAATAGCATAGAGTCAGGCTAACAAACTACTTTACTTTGCATAAAATTTGTTTACTGCAATTATTATTAATAATATATTTATATATATATATATATATATATATATATACTTAAAGCTGTGCACTACTTTACTCATCATTGCCATTCTACTTCAAATGTTTTAAAGCATGGCCTCGAGTGCATTTAGTATTCAAAATATTAAAAACCATTAGGACATTAATTTAACCCCAACACCTTTTTCCAACACATTTTTGGTTTGTTACAGAACCATGCTGGCATGAGGTTAAGAGTGTGTGAGGTGTGAACACACACTCATAAACAAATACTTGCTTTTGAGGGTACTTACAACATTCAGCATGGTGCTGCTGCTCTCTGCTCTCTCAGCTAGCTCTAGTCTCAGCTGAGCTATAGTGTCCTCTGAACCCTGTACCTGAACAGATGAGAAACAAAGTTTGTTCAGTATGTCCCTCTAAAGGACAAAGGACAAACAGAGAGCAATTTAAAGATTGTGAATCAACATCAACAACCACAGCTAAACTTGAGAACTTGAGTCAGAATGCAAGATAATGCAAGCACTGTCAATGTTCTTATATACAAATGTTTTGCTGTGGTATAATAATAATAACCCTTCAATATTCTCATCTCCGCAGTTTATTTGCACATTGCATCACTGTGAGTACTAGAGAAAGCCTGCTGTAGTTTTAACAAGTGTAATGCCAGTGAAAGTCTTCTTCAATCAAAACCTGACATACCAAACCTTCATCCAGTCATCTTGGCTGAAGGAGAACATTGAGCTGATTGAACGGTTTGCTCTACAGCTTCATCCCTGCAGTGATTCTGTTCTCACACTGAACCTCCTAAAAAGTCAATGAGATGCTCAGCACACTAAATTAGTTGCTCTCTCACTCACATGGAAGGGGAGGGGAATATATAAAGAACATTTATAGAGCTGAGAAAAGTTGATGTAAAAATACGTGCAAGTATAAGCATGATGGACAATTACAAATATATATTCAATTTGTTTTATTTGGTGATACATATATATTATACAGCAATAAAATAATAAATATATATAATAAAATAATAAAAGTTGGATTTTTGCGTTTTTCATATCATATAGCTCACTGCCATTTTATAAAATTTGAACTTCAAAAGTCTTCAAAAGTCAATTTTTGATAATAATAAAATAAATATTTCTTGAACAACAAATCAGCATATTAGAATGATTTCTGGAGGATCAGGTGACACTGAAGGCTGGAGTAATGATGCTGAAAATTCAGCATTGCATCACATGAATAAATTGCATTTTAAAATATCTTACAATAGAAAATGGTTACTTTAAACTGTAATCATTTTTTTTTTAATCAAATTCGAATAAATACAGCATTGGTGATGAGACTTCTTTCAAAAATCTTACCAATTCCAAAGTTTTGAATGGCAGTGAAAGCACATTTCACACGGAGTACATGAGATTAAGATATGAGACAGTCACATCCAGCTAGGTCTAAAAAAGTCTGCAGTGTCTGTCAATTCTGACACCTGCTCTTGAAGCTCTTCGACTCTGGCCTCCAGCTGAAGGAGCTGTTGAAGCTGCTCGAGCTCGTGCTGTTCTTTCAGAGACATCTCCTGGTGTAGCTCAGTGATGACATCCTGTAGTTCCAGGATCAGAGCCTCTCGCTCCTCCACCTACAACACATGACCGCTGCCATGTCAAAAGACTGTTATCCATGATTGTTATGTGTTGAGTTACATGGTTATTTGTG